TAACTTTCGTTATCATGGAATTATAACAAAACCTGCCAATTCAATATAAATGGAAAAAAAATATTATATGGAATTCAACGAAAATGAAAATTTGCTTGATAATTCAACTACGCTTGTTGGAGAACAATAAAAACACTACACTCAACAAGCCACCAATAAAACTCAACTGCCTAACCTATAACCAAAGTCTCCTTTTAATTTGTTTTTTAAAAAAAGCGCTTGACAAACTTGCCCCGCATGCCGAAGTTGCCCCGATCTCCCCTATATTTTTGCTTATCAGATTGTTACTGAATTGCAATAATATTAGCATTTATGTAAATATTTCAATAAATTCTGCAGTGTTATTTAAACTGTTGAATAAAGTTTTCGTTATTAAACATTGCTTCAGATTATTGTTGTGATTTAGAAAAACAAACAGACACATCATAAGTGAAATAAAATGTAGATTTATTTCGTGTGAATGGCTTTAAATATTTTTTCGATTAAAAACTTCTGACGTAGTACGAGAATAATGTCTACTGTATTTTAAAAAAATGTTACAATTATACACAAAACAAATTTATCACGGGATCACCAATCAGCTGTGTATTCAATTGCGCATATTTATTTGTTAATTGTAATTTATTTTTAAACATTTGCTGTAGTATTTCACTGACACTACAACCTTTTGTATTACATTCTGTAAATGTTTTGATTAACACTCTCTTAAGTTGCATCCTGCCAGATGTTTTCGTTTTTACACGCGGCTTATTACCTCTGTGTTCGTCGTGTAAAATAAAATAAATAGAGTTAGTTACGTCTTTAATAGCCAAAAACCTGGTTAATACTTTCTCACAATAAAGATTTGCATGGACAAAACAAATAATCCAGGTGATTCATTTATTTGATAGAATGAAGTGAAGCAACACGTAAACAATCCGTACAGGCAATACTCAAAATTAAAATAATAAATTATACATCTAAATCTTCTTATATCAATAAATATAGTATAGGGCGCATTTGTAGAGCCGGTAGCCATATTAGCTGTTTGTTCTCCAGTTACTGAAACAACCACAACGTTGCACGAGTTCGTGTTTAAGAACGTTCAATCGGCAGCACGACTTACTCCAAACATTAAATATTTATTTTTCAGTTATAATTGAATTAATTAAGCTTTCTTTGTTTTATAAATTTAAAACTGAGCTAAGCACACGTCAACAAATCTAGCAAAAGGAAATCAATTGTAGAAGGTGTTTGTGTGAAAAAGATGTTTCTATATAAAAATTGGAAATGTGAAAAAGCCCGGAAAATCATCACGTGGATAGGTGTTACCGAAGCGAAATTTTCATATTGTGTTCAATGGTTTAATCTACTTGCCAATAATGGGTTATTCTATAGAGAAACAACACATACTAAATAATAGTTAAATCTAAGATTTTACATAGATTATTTAAAAGAAAATATTTTAAGATCAGAAATCAATTTTTATATATAGTAGACAGCATTCTGTGTTCGAAACTGTTATAAATATCAGTTTATTCAAAGGGTTATTCTTCATAAAAAATTTCATGTTCTTTTACAAATGTGAGACGTTACATAATATTTGTTGTAAATTAAATAAAATTAATTAAATTAAATTTATTTTGTGGTTTTTAATTAAATTATTACAAATAACTTAATAAACACAGTAACATTTCTAAACTTTACACTATTAAATTATGGCTTATAAGATGATAACTTTTTAATACTTACTTATTACTGATATATGTTGAATTTGAACAAAATTGCTGAAACACTTTCCGTTCATTTCGCCTAAATCTTTATTTTAATACAGAAAAATTCGCGTTTATTCTAATACAGAAGCATTTGTCTATTTTTGGGATTCAATTATACACAATAGTCTGCCAATTTAAAGTTTTGCTTTCATATGGAAATATAAAACATATCAACAGAAATTCAATAGCTTCAAAGTTCCATATGCTTCATATCTTGATACCATTTATGAAGTAGTTAATTTGTTATTACTTATCTGTATATTTATTCATGCAAAAATGAATAATATCAAATATTAAATTTATAACACATAGATTATAGTGATTTGATGCAATTTGATGTAGATTTTATTTAAACCAACAAATACTCGTAAAGAAGTGATAAAATTTAAAATATATTTTTTCAGATATATGATTCGGTACACTTTTTCATTATCAGTTGTTAGTTTCATAAAATAATTTACAAACTCATTGCTTGTTTTTGTTTAAAAATAATCTTGATAAAAGTCAATTAAATGGTTCAGGTCATTAAAAGTCTGCAGAAAAATTTAATTTTTCTGTGGACTCATATAGAAAAACGAGAACAAAAATTTCGTTATTTTTTATTAGATTTTAATGCTATATTTGATAATGAATTTTTTGTGAGAGATTCCAATTTACCTGATAAAGTTGGTATTTCCGAATA